GTGGTGGACCACGCTTATCGGTGACGGCACGCGCTATTCGAGGGTCACAATTAAAAATAGCGACTGCACGGTGCTTCCTTTGCACCCGCGTTGGTGATAGAACTTGACTTTTGAGAGTAGGCCTGAGTAGGTCCACATTTCAAAAATTACAGTTTGTTTCCATTTTACGAATTTATTTAAATTTGACTGGTTTGCCTACATTGGCAATTATTTATATTTTGTGTAATGCAGCCTTAAAAATATTTCGCCCACTTCCACCTATTTATTATCTTTTTGTTTTGCTCGTCATATGCCAAAGTTCTTAATATCTGACCCCCCCCCCCCTCTCTCTCTCTCTCTCTCTCTCTCTCTCTCTCTCTCTCTCTCTCTCTCTCTCTTTCTCTTTCTGTGCCCCTTTTCAGTGCATGTGTCTCTGTGTGCGTGCCTGCGTGTGTGTCAGAGAGAGAGAGAGAGAGAGAGAGAGAGAGAGAGAGAGAGGCAGGCTCGGAGGCATCATGGGGTCTCAAAGGTTCAGGGATCCGCCGGCAAGGTCGCGCCACTGGCGCTGCTCTTATCAGCCGCTATCACTGCCACCCTTGCCGCGCGCGGCCCATGGGCCCGGCCCCTCCACCCACACGCCGAGGGGGGCCGCCTAGCTCGCAGCCACCGCTGCACCCGCGGGCCCGCACTAACAGACACTTGAAATATTCGGCAAAATTTCCAAAGGCGGGAGGGGGGTAAAATATAATTGTGCACTGTGGCTGTAACAACCAAATCATCGTGCGCACAAAACAGAAGTGCGTGAGATGAGAAGTGGAAACATGTTTCCTACACTTGCAAGTGTATCATATTGTTAATAACACACAAAGAGACGCCGTGGCAAGGCGGTGGTGCACTTATGTTACATTTGTGATGCACTTGTAAGTTCAGGAATAGTGTCGCGCACTTCTACCAGTTAAGACTGGTAAACACATTGTAAATGACTTGTACGGTTTTATGACAGATTTGTCAGGCACAACATGAGCAATTTTTTGTGTGCGCGATAGAACAGAACACTTTCCCGGGTATTTTATTGGGCACTGACTATGTCCAATTTTCCCTCCCCAAACGGCTGGTGATACTCCAAACCTATTTGGCAAGGTGTTGAGCGGTCTGAGGAGGGCTGGGCAGCCTTACTCTTGGTTGGCGGAATTGTTTTCGCGCTGTGTATTGTACGGTGACGGCGGTGACGCCCTGACGCCGCCCCACTGCTGACTCTGGTGACGGTTCGGCGCCGACGCTTCAATCGGGCGGCCCGATTCGGCAGCGCATCTATATTTAAGTGTTTGTGACACCGCGACGCGGAGGTGTGGTGGAGGTGCTCGCCGGGCATGGCGGCCGACCATCTGTGCGAGAGAGACATTCGTAATATGGGCTTGGGGTGGGTGCGAAACGGATTCGGGTTCAAAGCAGGGTGGAAAAGAGGGGCTGTTTTTTGTTGTTGTTTTTTTTGTTTTTTTTTGTAATATTTGGAGCTCGCGGCGCCGCGGGGAGCCGCGTTGTCATGAAGCGAGCGGAGGGAAAGATTGTCGAAAAGCGAATGTCAAGGTGAGAAAGCGCGGGGTGTGGGACTCATGGCGCGACGCGAGGCAAGGGAGGTGGGGGTGAGGGGGGGGGGGGGGGGAGCACACGGCAGGTCTTGTTCTAAGAGAAGGGTGGGACGGGGAGCAGAGGGTAGCACCGGGGGAACGGGAAGGGGGAGGGGCAGAGCCTCAGGGCCGCCTGGCGCCCCGCCAGCTCGGGAGGCAGGCAGGTGCTCAGCTGTGCAGTGACGTCCTCGTATGACGTCACGGCGACGTCACACCGAGTGTGCCGTCACGTAGTACGGCCCAGAGAAAGGATATGATTGAAGAAAACATAATACTTGTCTGTGAACCCTCCTGGGGGCGTCTCGAGTCGCGCACGCCACGCGCACCGCACGGGACGGGTTCAGCGAAAAAGATACATAAAAGAAGACGACGATCGGTGAGGTGCGGTCAGTGGAAAAAACACGCGAAAAGTAGTTTAAAAATAGGCGGCCGTTCTCGGCGACAGGTGAGTTAGGCCTGGCGTCCTCACCTCACTCGAACCAGAACGCACGTGGACGCCCAACACCACGCCTCCAGAACCGAAAAACATTTCAATAGCTGTAGTACGGGTCTCCCGGCGTCTTGGGGGCAACGGCATAAGTGCGCAGTGCAAAAGACGTATTTTTTTATTTTTTTTTGACATTTGTTTAAAAATGCTGATTGAGTTAATTTTAACAAATAATATTCTGTTCTTTTTGGATTGGGAGGTACAGCTCAGCAGCATGGAGCCACTACTACTGCTGTGGGATGAAAAAGAAAGAGAGAGAGAGAGAGAGAAGGAGAGAAAGACGAGGCGAAGCCAGCCAGGGGTCGATGCGCCCGCAGCAAAGAAGTGCAAGGTTGCGCGAATTTGTAGAGCACGGCGACGGACGAGCCTCGCCCCGCGCCCCGCCCCGCCCACCGCGCCACGTCACGCCACGTTATGTCACGCTACGCTGTCGCGGTGCTCTTTATCATGGTCTGGAATTACTAGTAAAAATCTCTTAACCCTTTTAGAAGGGTCGAGGCGACGTGGCACTTTTGGCTGTTCGAACTTTTCGAGTTGTTGTTTTTACTGCTCCTCTCGCTGTACGAGAAGATGAGCAATTGCCGTGGGTTCCGTTCACCTCTCTGCTATGTGAGCCGCTCTCTTGGAGCCTTACCGCTACGCCGCGCAGCCCCGCGCGGGTCGATCTTGATAGCAAACAGACGAGTGGACTATCGGGCTCCAAATTATACCCCGTGCGCGTAGAGATCCTTGCGCCCCACGCCCACCTGTCAGCGAGCCGCACGGCGGCCGCCCACCATCCATCAAAATTAGGAAGGGAAGCATCCCGTCGTAGAGGGGCTTTAAAGGCACATTGTTGTGTTTGTGCCCGGGCGGTTACTTGACTTATCGCTGCCGTGATATACGTGTGTGTGCGTTTGCATGCCGCCACAGCAGAGGCCCATGCATACACACTCTAAAAAATAATACAGAATTCTGTATCAAATTTGATACAAAATTCTGTATCAGGCTCTTGTGATATGGAAACATGTAACATGGGTACAAAAATCTGTAATCTGATCAAAATGTTACAAAATTCCGTAAATGTTACTAATTTCTGTAACAGATACAAGATCAAGTAACGTTGGATACAATTTTCTGTATCCCTGGATACAGAAGTATGGAACTTCGTTGGCACGGTCTCCGGGAGCCCCGGTGGCATTACACCGGGTTCCAGCAGTCCTCTCCTCAGGTAGCCTGGGTGGCCGCGCGGGTAAAGGCGCGACTTCCTAATCCGAGGGTCTGGGGTTCAACTCCCGGTGCGGCAAGGTACATTCCTTCAAATTAAATCAAAGGAGTTAGATCCCCAGAAAAAAAAGAAGAGGAGGAAAGGGAGGAAGAGTAACAAGATAAAGAATTACTATTTTAAAATCCCACAGAGGTTCTGTGTCAGGTGATACAGATTTTCGTATCCATGTTACAGATTAAAATCTGTATCAAAAATGATACAAATTTCTGTAACATGTGATATGTGAATTACTGCGTAACAATGTTACAGAATTTTGTACTGATTTTTTTTAGAGTGCAGCGCAGAAATTATGTCATTTTGTTATTTTTAATCTGCCGTTTTGCCGGGAAGGAGGAAGGAGGAGAAAATAAGAGAGATACTGGAAAAACACACTAAAAACGCTAGTGTGTGAATGTCGCACACTTGCACACCTAAGGGTACGAATAGATATTCACACACCTACAAGTGAGCGACATTCACACACTTGCGCTTTCAGTGCAAAGGTTTTAAACCACACCTTTCCAGGGGTGCCGAAAGAAATTTGGATTTAAATGTCTTTGTGACGGCACGAAAGGGCCCTGAATGTGCTGAAAATAAGTGTGTTCCAAAGTGTTTAAAATGACTCAAACGTAAAGACAGTGTTCCTCATCCCGGCTAGTGGTGCGGTGAAGGCTTCAGACGTGGGAGACAGACGTGGCGCATGAAGGGAAAATAACGGGTCAAATCTCTGTTGGCCCTGAGCTTGCGTGCGTTTTTTATCAGGCCCGAAAAAGAAGAAAATAACACACAACCCAAAAAATGACAGTAATGGCAGTAGTATACTGCCCGCTTATACCTTTCTCACCCCTTCCCGAGCCTGTCACCCCCGGCTCGCGGAAAATCCTGCACTGGCGCGAGTGCTCTATAATCTCACGATTCCACAAAGCCGGAATACGGGGTGAAAAAATAAAACACGAAATGGGCCGACGGTGCGAGCTGGCTGCTCGGGCATGCACCCCCGATGGAGAGGGGCGGGGAAGAGAAGGGGGAGGAGCGCGAACCCTTTGTGCGACAGGGTGCGCTAATGTGATTCCACGCCTGCAGTTTTTACGATGGGAACATTACATGACACGCATCAACTCACCTGAGGGAGTGGACGGACCGTGGAGGGGGGAAAGGGGTAGGCGAGGGAGGAAGTGGGGATACCCCGCGCGCAGGGCGAAGGGTATCGGCGCGGAGGCTCTCCAGTCGAGGAGGGAGGAAGAGGGCGCATCTGAGCAGGAGGAAGGGGAGGGGCGCGCGAGGCCGCGGGGCTGGAGGAGCAGCGGGGCCGGGGTTGCCAAACGCGACTGGTTTGTGGAGCAACCGCTGGGGTGCCTCCTGCGCGAGCGGCGCCCAAGGGGAGGAGGACGCCGCGCAGCCCTCTCGGCCGCCCTGCGACCCCCGCCCCGCCCCGCTCCGCCCAGCATCACCCCACAACACCTCAGCCTGCTCGACCCTTATTGTGACGAAACTCTATCGGGGATATGTATTTACATGGGCTGCAGGTTGCTGCTGTGCCGCACTCTCGCCTACACTCGCCATGAAAAATTCGGCGGGGAACTCCCTGCCCTGCCCATCCCTGCCTCAACCTCAACCCCCAGTCTCATTGTTGCTACCCGTCGGCCATCTCTAGCGCCGGTCGTGTGTTTTCTGTTATTGCCGACGAAAACGAAAAGAACGCGGAGCTGAGGCTCGCAGAGTGAGATGCGCGGGCGTCCGCAGAAGTCGCCCCCGCCCGCCCCGGCGCTGACACCCGACGCTGCGCCCCCACGGCGGTTGTAGCGGCCGTGCAGCGCGGACGGCGCTGACTGGGGAGGTTAGGTTCCGCCCCCGCTCGGGCGCATGTGATGACTCGGCGGCCGTACTCACTGTCTTAGAATGCCGCTGCCTTCGCGAGTCTGTTGTGTTGACAGGTTTCAGAGACGATCCGATACAGGAAATGTTCATGTTTTGCAGGGTCTTAGTCAGTTAGTACGTCAAACGCCCGTCGCCGTGGACTGCAAGCAGCATTCCTAACGAGGTAATTTTTTTACGTGCCTGTGAAAACCCTTTGCTGACGTGGTGGCAATTTGGAGAGGGGAAAGAAGAGTTATCGCTTTATTTTGTCAGCCCCGCTCTCCAGATGGAGTGATGTCGTCCGTAGCGCAATGTCGGAGAAACGCGCTCAGGATGGCGACGACCGCCCCCAGCCCCGCCTGGCCCCTGCCGCGGGGCGCCGCCCTCCGCGGCCCTCCGCCAGCAGCAGCGGCCGCCCGGCGGGGACGGTGGCCTCCGCCGCCGCACGGGACCCTGCCCGCCAAAGCGGCAGCAGGTCCACCGTGGCCGTCCCCTCCGCCAGGGTGAGCTCCAGGGCGACGACCTCGGCGCCCGCCGGCGGCAGGCTGCGGCCGGTCCAGGGCACGGGTGACAGGCCCTCGCCGTCCGGCCCCGTTGCCGCGCCCGCGCCCGCCCCCGCGCCGTCCCGCCGCCGCGTCTGCGCTTCGGCACACTCCTTGCCGGGGCGCACCGCAGCGCCGCCCCCGGACAGGTCCGCGCACTCCATTCGACGGCCACCTTCACCGGGGGCCGGCCTGGCCGCGGCCGCGCGCCCCCAGAGGCCCGCGGTCACCGCGCGGCCGCCCGCCGCCCGGCCCGCCGCGGGGCCGCCGGCGCCGCACCGCGCGTCGTCCAAGGGGGCTGCTGCTGCCCCTCGGAGGGCGCACCCGACCGGCAAGCAGCACCAGAAGCAGCGCTGTCCGCAGGTAGGGAGGAGGGCCGAGTGTTGTTTGCGCCTCCCTTCTATTGAGCGTGCGTGTCTTCTAAACCCGCCCACCCCTTTTACAGGTCCAGCAGATGCGAGCGCGAGGGGCGACGGCGCCGCAACAAGCAGGTACCGAGCAGCAGCCAGCGGGAGAGCAGCCAGCAGAGGGTGAACAGCGAGCTGAACCGGATCCAGCAGCAGAGTCAGCCGCCGCAGCGGAACAGCCTCATCAGCCGGGGGCAGATCAAGAAGGAC